GGCGGAACTCCGACCCGATGGGGTTTAATGGACCTCGGATTCGGATTCAGCGACCCCAAAAACATATAATAAACATGGTCTGATCCCCAGGCCAAAGAAATTTTTTTTTTTTGTGTGGCTGTGTAATCATCATGGATATAAGAATATAGAGACAGAGCATATCGTCGCGGGAGTGAAGCCATTGAGGGGAGGGCGACGAGGTAAACCGTGCCTAGTTTTGATTGGCTGTTAGTGACGCAAACGCGTTGGCACAGCAAGGAGGTTAAAGACGCAGAGTTATAAGGAAAAATACAGTTTTTTATATTAACAAAATGTTTTAAGTATACAAAATGGTGCAGTGTTATGTGCGGTCGTGCACAAACAGATCCGATTACCAACACTGAAAAAGAAGTAATGATAGAAATAATAAGAAAAAAATAACATTTCACAGGTAATGAAATTTTTATCATATTAGATAGATAGATAGATAACGTAGAGCGGGGGGCTTGTGAGACCCTATTGTCACCTAGATCTATAAGATCCTCTGCGACTCCCGCTAGTTGTTTATCGACCAAGTTGCTAAAACCCGGCATTTGCTGCCAGGCTACAAAGATGGCCGATTTTAAGTATTTTTAGGTTCTCGGGCTTCACAAACATGGAGCCCAAGAATCTGAATCTTTTGAGTGCTAGAGACGGGCAGCAACACAATATGTGCATGCTGTCCTCCCTTTCTTCGCCGCAAAATCTACAACTACTCTCCTCAACTAGGCCTAAGTTGAATAGATGTGCCTTGAAGACCCAATGCCCTGTGAGAAGACCGATACACAGTCTTTGTCTGTACTTATTCATTGTCAGTAGTTCCTTTGTCCTACTTGGCACTGGCTGAGTCATCAGAGCCTTAGCTTGGCGGCAGCTCTTCAGTATCTCCCAAGAGATCCTGTGCTCCCTTTTCAGCCAGTCCTTGATATGATTTTTCGCTGTTGCAAAGGAAACTCCAACTATTTGGCAGACTGGTTCCTCTAAGGTACCCAGTTTTGCCAGACTATTAGCCACTTCATTGCCTTGGATACCTTGGCCAGGTACCCAGACAAGCGTGATGTTGTTTCGCTAGCCCAATCTGTTTACAGCTTGCATACAGTCTCAAACCACTGAAGATTCAGTGGTCTTGGCAAGAGCTCCTATGGCTGCTTTGCTATCCGTATAGATATTGATCCTCTTAGTTTTCATCTCTCTTGAGAGTAGGAATCTTGCACATTCCAGAATGGCTAGGACTTCCGCTTGAAAGACCGTGGCCANTTTACCCAGAGAGAAAAACTCTCTGTGATTTGATCCTGGACAGTAGATGCCTGCTCCATAGCAGCCGTTTGCTCCAGATCCATCAGTGAACCATGCATGAGTTCCCGGCTGGATCTGAAGATTTCTGTTTTTCCAGTCTGTCCTGGTGGTCAAGTTTATGGAGAACGCCTTGTCCACTTGGCGTATTCTGGATATTCTGTCTTGCTTTAAGGTAAAGGGAGGTTTATGAAGAAATTCGAGCTTGGTATGACCTACTTCAAAATCTCTCCACTCCCCCTGACACCTTAGTCTATATGCTGTGAGTTTGGCAGCGCTGATGATAGTCACTCTTAAAAGTGGAATGCAGAGCGCCACTTTAGCGCTTCTGTTGGCGTCGTTCTTATAGGAGGGCTCCTTACCGCAGCCCTCAAGTAATTGCCTTGTAGGCTTTTTAGTAGGTTCTTTGACTCCATTTTTTCCACTCTGGGCCACCAAATAACAGCAGCATATGTTAACCTCGGTACAAGTACCGCTTTGTATATCCACAGGGCAGTATTTACTTTAATACCCCAGGATTTTCCCATTGCTCTTCTACACGCCCAGTATGAGGCGTAGAATTTGGATCCCTTTATATCGAGATGTGTTTTCCAATTCAGGTTGGTGTTTAAGTGAACTCCTAAATATTTTACTGACTGGACGTATTTTATATCTTCCCGCTAGAGTCTAAGCGGCTCAATAGCTTGAGGTTTGTATTTCCTGGTGAAAATCATGGCCTTGGTCTTTGATGGATTAGCTCTAAGTCCTTTTGATTGACACCAGTCTTGCGTGATCTTACGGGATTTTCCCATAGTCTCCTTAAGTATTGAAAGAAAGTTGCCCCGCACTATAATGGCCACCATTATTAGCGTAGCCAAAGGCGAGGAAACCTGTCTTCTGTAATTTATATAAAAGTTTGTCCACGACCAAGCAACACAGCAGGGGGAATAAAAGTTCCCCCCGCTGGCATCCTTTGGCGAAAAAACCATGCACGTTTGCGTGGATCCCGTGATTAGCAATCAGGGTTCTTCCTGTTAGCATGCTTTGTATCCATCTGCTAGTGCGGCTGGAATATCGTGTCTGGTCATTGCCTCCCCGATTACATCATATCAGGTGCTATCAAAAGCTCTCTCAATGTCCAGGAAGACGCCCAGGGCATATCTTTTTGCCTCCAAGTGCTTCTCGACTCCGCTCACAAGGTGGTGCAAGGCAGTATCCGTAGATCTGTCCTCCCTGTAAGCATATTGAGAAGAGGCCAGTGGATATGTAAGCAAAGGTCCGTTCTTCAAGAATCCGTCGATCAGCCTCTCCAAAGTCTTAAGTACGAAGGAGATAAGGCTGATCGGTCTGAAATCCGTGGTTGAAATATATCCATTTTTGCCAGGCTTGGGGATAAAGACCACTCTTGTACCACTTCAGGCCTGAGGAACATGTCTTAGGGCTATACTTGCCCTAAAGATTTTAGTAAGTGGACCGATTAGTACCCCCAGTCCTTCCTAAAGAAGGACGGGATAGATACCGTCTAGTCCAGGTGCTTTATATGGGTTGAAGGTCTTAATAGCCCATTCAACTTCGTTTGGATGGACAACCTCAGTTGCCAAACGCCATTCCCTGGGTTTATATACCCTAGGCTTTGGCCGGCGAGGTTGTATGTTATTGTCAAAACCTGGGAAGTGAACTTCCATTAAATGTTTTAATGTGTCCGACGCCTCCTCACTAACATTCCCCGATGGAAGCTTAAGACAGCCCAGTTGGGGACGGTGATCTAAGCTGAGAATTCTGTGAAGCCTGGATGCCTCTGGGGCACTCTCAATGCTTTCACAGAAGTGTTTCCAGCTTTTGTGTTTTGTTTTCTTGATTTCCTTGCTGTACTCTCGTTGGGAGCTTCTGAAAGCCTCCCAGTGTACTGCAAGTCTGGTTTTTTTTGTTTTACTGAATTTTCTTCTTGTTTTCAATCTGAGCTTTTCAAGCTCTTTGTTCCACCAGTGGATCTTATTCACCGGGCTCCTTGGTTTTGGTGGGCAGTTTAACTCATAGGCATTTGCAATGGCGTTCTTTAAAAAGTCCGCCGCATTTTTCAAATTATGTTTGATCCAAAAACTGATTGGGGCCTCAACGAGCTGCGCCTTAAAATCAACCCTAAAGCCCTCCCAGTTGATTTTTTGTGGGTTACAAACCCAGCTGATTTGCGGTAGTTGCTGAAGAGTTAGGCGTATCTGTGATCAGAGCCAGAGGGCTCATCCGAGACCTTCCAGTCGTTCAGCAGACCCGCCACCTTCTCCGTACAAACCGTGATATCAATGATTTCCTGTCTTCTGGAGTCCAGGAATGTCGGCTCGTTTCCTCTGTTAAGAATGGTTAGCCCTGTGCCCACTAGGAAGCCATGCAGACTCTCTCCCCGCGGGTTGATGTTTGCACTTCCCCATCCTACATGATGGAAGTTCGCATCACAACCCAGCAGGAGTTCAAGCCTTCCGGCCTCCGCATAGGTTACCAAGGCTTTTACTTCTTGATGACTGTGAGGTCCTCGCTGCTAAGCTGTGGCAGAAAGATAGCATTTAGTCCTTTAACCACTATGCAAGATCTTACTTTTTTTCCGAGTGTGCTTTGTATAAACAGCCACACCCACTCAGATCTCTTATCGCACCGTTTACAATCCAAGGTTTTTGGATTAACGCAATAATTGCATCACAGCTTTATCATATTAAAAGTAATATATATCTTAATGTAAGAATATAAATTGTTAAAACATTTTTTTTATATAGTTTTCCCAAACATTCTGAAACTCGAGCGTTGTGGCTAACTATTTTCGAAATATATGCATTATCTGTACCAACTACAGCTCGCATTTGCTCTGTCCACTTTGAGGAAAAATGCTTTGATAGAACATCTTCAACAACTCGACTTAAGCCAAATGCATTGCCCACACATCAGTTGGCGTCATTACTATTTGCTGTAAAAGTGAAACAAAAATTCGGTGTGCAATTTATTCAAGTAAATTATTTACAAAACAAAAATTTAACGAGCTTTACTTATCCAATAAAGTATTGAAACTATGTATTAATGTTGATTTATATACGAATTTCACCAGTCATGCACACGATCAATAATGGAAAACCATATTGTCCATCTAATTCGAGCAATTGCCACAAAATATATAAAAATTAGGTTGCATTATATAGCGTTACATAGTGTAGATAAATCAAACAGTCAACGTCACTTTTTTAATAAACTTATACTTTTTAAAGGTCAATAAAAAATTGTTATAAATTATATAAGAATAATATTATATATAAGAATAATACTTCAATAAGAGAATATTTGTTTGTACAACTATATTATGCTATACTAGGTACTGTTCATAAAAACTGTGACGGGGCAGCCCGTCACTGTACATATTTTGTGTAGAAAATATATATACTTAGAAGTATCCCGAGCGTAACATTATTACCCGTCCCCAAGTAACCGTTAGATCGCACCGAAAGTGCTACAACATGAGCACTTTAACCCGTCTCATAGGAACGCGCCCTAAATCTAAGGACCGCGAGCGCCGCGACCGCAAACCGTACCGCGCCGGCGCAGAGCCCCACGCGCGGGCCTGCGCGCACCGCACNNCGCGCCCCGGANCGANCNNGGNCCGTCGCCGGGTATATAAGGCGAGCNAAACCGGCTCCGGGCACCATTCCTTTCTCATCCCGCTCTCCGAGGTGTTGACTCGGAAGCATTTCTAGGTCTCCGAGGTGCTGACTCGGAACCGACAACCCACCTTCGAGGCGCTGACTCGAAGTATTCCGCTTTCCGATCTCCGAGGTGCTGACTCGGAATCAAAACTCCTTCTTCCCGAGGTGCTGACTCGGGAAGACAACCGTACTCCGATATTACCCGCTCGAGGAGCGGACTCGAGCCAGCGACGTCTCCCCCGAGGTGTTTGACTCGGGAAACCCGATCCTTCCTTCCCGAGGTGTTGACTCGGGGGGAATCCTGACCGTTGCCTCCCGAGGTGTTGACTCAGGCAGCCCATCCTGGCCTCTCCGAGGTGCTGACTCGGAAGGTTCCCGCACCGACCGTACCCGGGGCATTGGCCCAGGTACACCGACCGTCCCTTCGGCCGTTCTCACGGCCCGGCGAAAGCCGTTTTCACGGCTCGCCGTAACCGCCGTTCTCACGGCGCACCGAAACCGCCGTTCTCACGGAGTACCCGGACATCTCTCGCTACTTCGTAGCCGCCCTGACCCACCGACCGCGTGCACCCCGTCGTGCCACGACCCGACGCGCTCGCGCACCGCGTCTCCGACGCCGACCCGCGTAACCGCGTCCCCGTAACCGAATACCCCTCGCTGTATATACTCGCGTCCCTCCTGTCTTAGCAAGTAGGTTTCCGTCCCGTTCCCGCATCGGCCGAGACCGATAAGCGACAGTACGTCCGCACCAATTCCAGACCGCAAACCGTTAACTTGTAAGGGCTTCGAGCCCCGCGTCGTCTTGACATTGTAAATACGTTTTCCCTTAGTAAGTAAGACTCCGTTCCGTAACCGCGTTGGCAGAGACCGACCCGCGACCGTACGCGCGCACCAATCACAGGCCGCGAACCGTTCACCCGCCAGGGCATCGAGCTCCGCGTTATCTCGGCATTATATATGCCTTCTTAGTAAGTAAGTTCCCGTCTCGTTTCCGCGCCAGCCGCTACCGACTAGCGACAGTAAGCGCGCGCCAATCACAGGCCGCGAAACCGCCGGACCGTAAGGGCTCCGAGCCCACGTCAGTAAGACATTGTACATAGCATAGTTTCAAAATATATTATCATTGAGTTACAGCAGCAAACCGAACGTGTCGCAATCTCTTCCTTCCCCTCACCCGAATCCTGGTCTGACCGAGCTGTCCGGCAGGCGGAAGGCTGGGCAAGCCGCGCATAACACGGCGGCTTCGTTACAAAACATATTTTTGTACTAAAATATAGTACAAATAAAAAAATTATGCCTTTTTAATCTTTTTCCGATACTTAATATTAAAGGTACAATTTAAGTATAGCTCTTATCTCAGTACTGATCATGTGCATAATTATAACCAATCAAATTCAGGCACGGTAACATGGCGGACCCCCTCCGCATTTCGGCTTCACTTCCCTCGCACATCAACTGAGTTTATACTCCGTCCCTATATTCCTATATCCATGATAAACATGCACGCTTAAGGACATCACACATAAAATTACTTAAGACCGTAAGACGTAGCCGTACGAAAATTAACCAATCAGAAATTTACGTCCAAAAGTGATGGAGCGACATAGTATACATTCTAATTGGTCAATTTTCTTTATTAGGGCTACGTCTTACGGTCTTAAGTAATTTTATGTGTGATAGCTTTTATAGAGTCCGATTATTGCTCTCCGCGCGCTTATTGGCTCACGTTCATTACTTCATATCTCAATAATTATTGAAAAATTTGCAAACTGGTAAATAATAAATAACTTTTCTGTTCATATTTATCCGGTCTATCTACTCACGTCGGCTCAGTTCGTGCATTGTCAGACACTTTATATATATATATA